TTGTAAAATGATATGTTATCACATTGATTGATTAACGTAGTTAAGTGCTAAGATCATGCATCTTTGATTCATGAATTGATTAATTGACGGGAATGTGGAATGACAATGGATATGGTTGTTATTATTATGATTGGAGTTGTTGTTCAATATGGCTAGAGAATATGATTGTACTTCGTCTTTTGTTCTTTGAAATATTGCATGATATGCATTTTGGTAATGTTGAGAAATGGTGATTTATGTGATGAATGTTCGAGTATAATGAATGACGAACTACGAATGGCTTGCTCCTTGTTTAGGGTACGTAAGCAGTCTAACGAGGATGTTAGATGTAGCCATAAAGTATACGAAAAATCTTTACGCAATTTGAGGCATGAGTTCTACTGGGTACATATCCCAGAGACGGGGTATGTTAGATATATATATATATATATATATATATATATATATATATATATATATGTAATTGGTGACATCACGTGTCGATCCTGGACGTATGTCAAGATCGAGGCGTGACAACATCAATGCCTTTCTTCCAATCAGTCTTGGAAAATGCTAATTACCCTAAGGATATTGTTTGCCGTTGGCATTAACCGATCAAAAACTATATGAAATTTTTAGTTTTATTCACTGCACTCGGTAATAGTTAAATTGAACCACGCCACAAGCAATGATGGTTGTCAAATAAGAGAAGATGAATTGCATGTCACACTTATATGTAATTAGAACATTATTTAAGGGAATAGTTTTTAGTATACAAGACATACCCTTAAAATATAATGCCAAAGCTGCTACCAGTTGTAATGCTGCATCAAGTGGCTGGAATTTGCAATCTTACCAATTCTCATATGTACTCATACATCTTGAATTGCAGCTTTCCCTTGGTACACACGCGACAGTTGAGGGACTTCAGTTCGATATCCGGTCACAAATCTCTCCAAAAATTGCTTTTTCGTAAGGCACAACACCGAACCTAGATTCTTGTTTTCATCCATTAATCCTTTCAACTTCAAAACTTTCACAACCGAAAACCTTGGGATAATTCTCTTCTCCAAACTGTAACCCATGATCACCGGGGCTTTAACAATCATTTGCGATGACAAATCCTATCTTGTTCACTACAAATTCCATGACTTGCATTATTTTCTTCTCCAACTTGGTCATACAATGTGGGTACCGCTTGAAAGCAGAGAGAACATCATCCTCAGACCAACCCCACCTCTTATAAACATCACAATTTCGAGTCCATATGGACTTATTATTGGCATTACTCGAAGCTTTTATAGCCATCACAGACATTGATTTTTCCATATCAAAACCCTTTTGCTTAACCTCACCCACAACTTAAGCAAACTTTTTAGGGTTTTGTATTCAAATTCTTAATTGAATACAAAATTTTGATTTAATTCACTTAAAATCTCATAGGAGATGTGAGATTTGTAGATGCTTAAAATACACTACGAAATATCTCTAATTCCCTCGAATTCCTCAACTTCTTCTAATTATTTAGAATCAATTTCTAATTGAATACACATTAAATGTTATAAACTTATTTAAAATCCTGATTAAATACACCGAGATTTCTAAAGTTTTTAATAAACTGTCTTAAAGTCCCGATTAAATACACTTTGAATTTTAGAAAATCACTTAAAATCTTGATTAAATACCTCTAGATTCACACTATGTTTGAATGGGAAATGGATCATCTCCGGATCATTTCCTTATAAAATCCTGTCATTTCAATTTTTGTCATTTTAAAATTCCTTAGTAATCTTAAATTTCTTCATTCAAATACAATGTAAAAGAATTAAAATCGCTCAAAATCCCAATTTTTTTTTCCAAAATCAATAAGAAATAGGATTTTTTCTGTAAGATCCCACATCGCCTGGAGGAAATGAGGTGATATACTTTATATATACATGCCTACCTCCCTATAGAGAGACGCGTTTTAGGTGGAAGTCCATGAACAAATCTATGAGGGCGTGGTCCAAACTGGACAATATCTTACTATGTGGACTGGGATGTGACAATTTGGTATCAGAGCCACTCCCCGACCGGAAGTGTGCCGACGAGGACGTCGAGCCCCTAAGGGGGTGGATTGTAAGATCCCACATCGCCCGAGGGAGATGAGGTGATGTGCCTTATATGTACAAATATTGTAAGATCCCACATCACCCGGGGGAGAGGATGTGATGTGCCTTATATGTACATGTCCACCTCCTTATAGAGAGACGCGTTTTGGGTGAACGCCTAAGAACAAATCCGTAAAGGTGTGGCCTAAAGCAGACAGTATCTTACTATGCGGACTGGGATGTGACAATTCGGTATCAAAGTCAATCCCCTACTAGAAGTGTGCTGGACGAGGACGTCGAGCCCCTAAATGGGTGGATTGTAAGATCCCACATCGAGAGAGAAAATGATGTGTCTTATATGTACATGCTCACCTCCCTATAGAAAGACGCATTTTGGATGGAAACCCAAGAACAAATCCGTGAGGGCATGGCCCAAAGTATACAATATCTTACTATGCGGACTGAGATGTGACAATTTGGTATCAGAGCCACTCTCCAGGCGGAAGTGTGCTAATGAGGACGTCGGGCCTCTAAGGGGGTGGATTGTAAGATCCCACATCACCCAAGAGAAAGGAGGTGATGTGCATTATATGTACATGCCCATCTCTTTGTAGAGAGACGCGTTTTAGGTGGAAGCCCAATAACAAATTTGTGAGGGCATGGCCTAAAGCAGACAATATCTTACTATACGGACTGAGATGTGACAATTTGGTATCAGAGCCACTCCCCGCTCGGAAGTGTGCCGACTAAGACGTTGGGCCCCTAAGGGGGTGGATTGTAAGATCCCATATCACTCGGGGGGAGAGGAAGTGATATGCCTTATATGTACATGCCCAATTCCCTATAGAGATACTCATTTTGGGTAGAAACCCAAGAACAAATCCATGAGGGCATGGCCTAAAACGGACAATATCTTACTATGCGGATTGGGATGTGACAATTTGGTATCAAAGCCACTCCCCCGCCGAAAGTGTGCCGACAAGGACGTCGGGCCCCTAAGGAGGGTGGATTGTAAGATCCTACATCGTCCGGGGGAGAGGATGTGATGTGCCTTATATGTACATGCCCACCTCCCTATAGTGAAACACGTTTTGGGTGGAAGCCCAATAACAAATCCGTGAAGGCGTGGCCCAAAGCGGATAATATCTTACTATGCGGACTAGGATGTGACAATTTGGTATCATAGTCACTCCCCGACCAGAAGTGTGCCGACGAGGATGTCGGGCCCTAATGGGGTGGATTGTAAAATCCCACATCACCTGGGGAGAGGAGGTGATATGCCTTATATGTACATGCCCACCTCCCTATAAAGAGATGCGTTTTGGGTGTAAGCCTAAGAATAAATCAGTGAGGGCATGGCCCAAACTGGACAATATCTTACTATGCAGACTGGGATGCTGTGGCAAACTACGTGAGGGCGAGAAGTGGCGGCCACCCCTCCCTTTGTTGGACAACATGCCTAGGAGTGCTAGTTGAGCCCCTCCGCTCTCGTCAAAATTGAGGGTTAGGTGTTGGTTTGGTCGAGATGTGCTGACAGAGGCGGATCCATTCAGGGACCTGGGTGGTCTCAAGACCCTCCGATGGTCCGAAGAAGTAGTCGTAAGGACCTTTGAGGACCACCCGAAAATGGTAGATCCGTGGAGGAGAGGTATTAGCAACAGCTGCTGGCTGTGTAAGCTGCATCAGATGGATAATGAAGAAAAAACTGTTTCGTTTTTAAGCGAATGGGCCAAAATGACTCGTTTGGATCCAATGCAATTAAAAAAGCACATGATTCTCTCTTTTAATTAGAATTCACTCCCATTTTCTTTACAAACCCCCTAATGCCCAATGCCCAATAAGCCCAATAAGCCCAATACGCTTTTATCTCCTATTCCAATACCCATTTTCATTCCGCTGAACAAGCCACCATCACCTGCTCCGCTTCTCTCCTCTCCACCACCACATAATTTCTTAATTTCTCTTTTTATTTTTTATTTTTTTATAATGTCCTAATTTCTAAATTTAAATAAATTTTTTAGTCGTAATCCAGATTAATAATATAGAATGCTATGAAAATTTTAGATCCCTAATATATTATAATAATCATAGATTGTAATTGAAGTTGTTTTGATATTAATTTGATCATGTGTTGGTTAGTTTATATGTAGACACACTTTCGTTTCATTAACTGATATGAAAATATTGTTTAATGCATAATTTATACATTAATTTGACCCCAGCGTATTTATCTTAAACTATCACATTATCTATAAATATTGTTAAAAAATAATGTAAATATTGTTTAATGCTTATTTTACGATAAAAGAAATTTATTTAAATCCATCTAGACTACAACCTAAATCTCGCCTAGAACCCATTGGCCATTGCGTGGCTTCCTATACGAAGTTGTATTGAATATTGAAGCAAAACGGAAAATAAGGAGCCAAGAACCCATCTTCCTCGATCAAACAACCAATCCCAAATTCCCAATTGCAAAATTTGAAACTGGTCATCTAATAACATGGTAGCACTCTACAAATTGAAGGCATTGCGGCTCCTCAGATTGGGTTATACGCACTCCTTTCCAATATAGTTGCTTCCAATATTATACGATTTGTTGTTGGAGATGTAAAACCCTCACATTTTCCGATAAGGATTGTCAGCCCTCCACTTCCGGTGCACTCTCTGTGTCCTCCTGTTTGTGTGGTCACGATTAAACCACGTCAACATTTTATATTACTATTCATTTTTGTCTTATTATATCTATTAAAAAAATAATATAAAATATTAACGTGACTTAAATATGATCACATAAACCAAAACAGAAGGGTACGAGAAGGGCATCGGAAGTGGAGGGCGGACAATCTTTGTCCCACGTTTTCCTCTTACAATGTACTATTTTTATACTAATACTCAACTCTAACGGTGACCACATCTAGCATCCCAACAGGTCGTTCCCAAACTTGCTCGAAATGCATCCGTAGAAAAACCTTTTGCCAAAGCTTGAGTTTTTCACTTCTTTTGGAGTTTCAAAGGGGGATCTTGCAAAAACTGAAGCTTTTGGCTACGAGCTTGGAGAAACGGATTGCACCCACTTATGATTTCCTTAGGAGTCTGCTTTCTCAGAAAAATGCTGTTTCCGTTTTAAGGCGCGGCTCCTGGATTTTCGCTGAAGGACACTCCAAGAAGGTGGCACCAAATATTGAGGTTTTGAAAGAATCAGGTATACCCCAATCCTGCATTTCTCATTTGCTTGCTTATCACCCCAAGGTTTTTATGCGAAAGCCTAAAGAGCTTGGTGGACTTGTGGATGAGGTTAAGCAAATGGGTTTTAATCTGCAAAAATCAAATTCGGTACTCGCAATATAGGCATTGTGTGGTAACAATAGGTCTATATGGAATCGAAGTCGCCAACTTTATAAGAGGTGGGGTTGGTCTAAGGATGATGTTCTCTCTGCTTTCAGGCGGCACCCGCGCTGTATGACTATGTCGGAGAAGAAACTAATACTAGCAATGGATTTTTTAGTGAACGAGATGGGGTGGTCTTAAAAAATGATTGCAAAACGGCCACTGGTCCTCCGTTACAGTTTGGAGAAGAGGTTGGTTCCAAGGTGTTCGGTTGCTAAAGTTTTGTTGTTGAAAGGATTGATAAAGGGGATTGAAAATGTGAGTTTGAGTTCCTTGTTGGAGCCCGTGGAAAAGTGTTTCTTGGTGAGGTTTGTAGCCAGATATATAAATGAAGTACCTCAGTTATTGAGTGTGTATCAAGGAAAAGTTGGAATCCAGGATGTATGATGTTCGTTGGTCAAAAGAGGTTAGATATTCGTTATAATTTGAGCCGCCTTGGTGTTGTATCGTAGATGCAGTGCTGTTCATTTCATTGGTAGCAGCTAACTTTTGGCTCAACAATGTAAGTTTCTGTCCTTAACTAGTGTTTTATATTTCACTTGGAAATGAATTCAAATGTTAATTATTTGCTTGTCTTAATGTTCCACTATCTAGCTACTTTAGTTATATATCTACTTTCTTATTTGAAATTAACTTGAGATTTGACCTGCTCCTCTCTGTGATCGTCGTGCTTTCAACTTAAGGTTGATTATTCTTGACTTTGTTCGTGTGGGAACTGCCTTCGGTAGACTCTACACTTATGCTTCTTCTGTTGGGGTTTTATTTAATCCATTGTATGCATTGTGTTGAACTAATTGGTCCATATGAGATTGAAGCCGCCAAGTTTAAAGACGTGGGGTTGGTCTGACGATGATGTTCTCTCTGCTTTCAAGCGGTACCACACAGTATGCTTGTGTCCGAGAGGAAACAAATGCTAGCAATGGAGTTTTAAGTGAACCAGATTGGATGTCCGTCAACAACTATTGCCAAGTACCCAAAGGTCCTCGGTTTCAGTTTTGAGAAGAGTTTGGTTCCAAAGTGTTCTGTTGTTTTGGTTTTGTTATTGAAAGGATTGATGAATGAGATTGAAAATGTAGAGCACGTCTTGGCGAGGTTTGTATCGGGATATGTAGGTGATGTACCCCAAATATATAGTGTATATATAAAGGAAAAGTTGAAGTTGAGGATGTAAAATGTTGGTAGTATAACAATTTTGTCCCCCTTGATGTAGATGCAGCACCGCTTTTGGCTCACTATCTTTCAAATTATAAGATGATTAGCATCCGCAGATCTTTATCACACTGGAAGCCACCTTTTCATTGTCCTACTAGTACAAACACACGTCGGTCGTATTTTAAACTTTGTACCTTACTGCTCCAGTGCAGACTTCAGTGCTTCTTGGCGAGCTTTCGTCTTATTTTGTTTAAGTTCATCCAATTTTCGTTCATTCCGCAAATACTAAAGCCTAAAGATCTTGGTCAACTTGTGGATGAGGTTAAGCAAATGGGTTTTAACCTGCAAAAATCAACTTCTGTGATGGCAATAAAAGCATAGTGTGCTGCCACTAGGTCTACATGGAATCGAAGTCACGAAGTTTATAAGAGGTGGGGTTGGTCTGAGGATGATGTTCTCTCTGCTTTCAAGCGATACCCCCATTGTATGATGGTGTCCAAGAAGAAACTAATTCTCACAATGGAGTTTTTAGTGAAAAAGATGGGATGGCCGTCGGTAATGATTGCGAAATCACCAGTGGTCACGTGTTACAGTTTGGAGAAGAGATTTATACCCCAGTGTTCAGTTGTTAAAGTTTTGTTGCTGAAAGGATGATAAACGGGATTGAAAATGTGAGTTTGGGTTCTGTGTTGGTGCCTCCGGAGAAGTGCTTCTTGGAGAGGTTTGTGGCCAGATATATAGATGAAGTTCCTCAGTTATTGAGTGTGTATCAAGGAAGAGTTGAAGTCCAGGATGTATGATGTTCGAAGGTCAAAAGAGGTTGGATATTCGTTGTAACTTGAGACGCCTTGATGTAGTATCGTAGATGTAGTTCTGTTCAATTCCATTGGTAGCAGCTAACTTTTGGCTCAGCATTGTAAGTTTGTGTTCTTAACTAGTGTTCTATATTTCTCTAGAAATGAATTCATTGAGATTTGACCTGCTCCTCTCTGTGATTGTGGTGCTTTCAACTTTAAGATTGATTGTTTTTTTTTACTTTGCTCTTATGGGAATTGCCTTCGATAGAATGTACACATATGTTGCTTCTATTGGCGTTCAATCTTAATCTGTTGTGGCGATGAAGGAATGAAAAAACTTGCAACTCTGTGCAATATGTGTGTGTGTGTAAGGGGGTAAGGAACTAGCAGTGGCTGTGCAGCTGAAGTTGTCCAGTAACTCCAAGTGTATAGAATGTACGCATATTTTGACGTAATTTGTCCAGTTTCATGATTTTCCCTTGAAACTGTCATTCGGTCTTATTTTATTCTTTGAAACTGTCATTTTGGTCTTATTCAGTCTCGATTCACACTATTTTCGTCCATTCCGTCAAATAGAGGTTAAATTAAGTAGCAAGTGCATTACATTTTTGACAAAGACGGACGGGGATTTGAACTACCGTTGTCAAAAATAGAATTGGGATTGTTTTAGATTGTGGGTAAAAAGTTGTGCTTTTGGCGAGAATCGAAATTAAAACTTTTCACTTACAAATGACGAAGTATCAAGTGGCACAAAAATAGCAAAGTTAGACAAAACCAACTTCAGAAAATAAATGAGACTAAAAGACGAGCGGAGCTGAGATAATAGGAGGGAGAGCGAGGAAGTGACCAATTTGTTCCGTCTGCTACGAGAAGTCTTAGGGAAAAATAGAACAGCCGTGGATTGGATTGAATGACAATCCAACGGCTCTCAAGCCTCTTTAATTGCGTAGCATCCAATTCGAGACGCAGTATTGAAGCAAAATGTAAAATACGGAGCCAAAAGCCCATCTTCCCCGATCAAACCACAAACCATCATCCCAATTGCAAATTTGAAATCGGTCGGCTATTGACATGGTGGGGCTCTACAAATTGAAGGCAGTCACCCTCCTCAGATTGGGTTACCCGCAATCTTCTTCTTCCAGCGTCGCTGCTTCCACATTTAAACGATTTGTTGTTGGAGATGTAAAACCCTCACATTTTCCTCTTCAAAATCTGCTACTCTGCAGACATTTCACCTCAGAAATCTCAGAAACCCACCACGATTTCACAGTCAATTACCTCATAAACTCATGTGGGCTGTCCCCAGAAGGTGCGATTTTATCATCTAAGTGGGTCAAGTTGCGATCCCCCAAAACAGCAGACTCCGTTTTGTCCTTTCTCAGAAACCATGGATTCTCTGAGACCCAGATCTCCAAGATGGTCAGGTCACGCCCAAAACTTCTTAAGTCCAGTCCGGAGAAAACCCTTTTGCCAAAGCTCGAGTTTTTTGCTTCTATTGGAGTTTCAAAGGAGCACCTTGCAAAAACTCTGACATTTGAACCGATTCTTTTGTCTTTGAGCCTGGAGAACCGGATTGCACCCACTTATGATTTCCTTAGGAGTCTGCTTTCTCAGAAAAATGTCGTTTCCGTTTTAAGGCGCGGCTCCTGGATTTTCGCAGAAGGCCACTCCAAGAATGTTGCGCCAAATATTGAGGTTCTGAAACAATTAGGTATGCCCCAATCCAGCATTTCTCTGTTGCTTCTTTATCATCCCAACACATTTACATTGAAACCTAAAGAGCTTAGTGAACTTGTGGACGAGGTTAAGCAAATGGGTTTTGATCTGCAAAACACCACTTCGGTGAAGGCAATATACGCATTGGGTGGTAGCAATAGGTCTGTATGGAATCGATGTCGCGAAGTTTATAAGAGGTGGGGTTGGTCTGAGGATGATGTTCTCTCTGCTTTCAAGAGGCAGCCGCTGTGTATGATTATCTCAGAGAAGAAATTAATGCGAACACTGGAGTTTTTAGTGAAAGAGATGGGGTGGTCTTCAAAAACGATTGTGAAAACCCCACTGGTCCTCAATTTCAGTTTCGAGAAGAGATTGGTTCCAAGATGTTCAGTTGTTAAAGTTTTGTTGCTGAAAGGACTGATAAACGGGATTGAAAACGTGGGTTTGCGTTCTTTGTTGAAGCCTGTGGAGAAGTGCTTCTTGGAGAGGTTTGTGGCCAGATACATAGATGAAGTACCTCAGTTATTGAGTGTGTATCAAGGAAGAGTTGCAGTCCAGGATGTATGATGTACGTAGGTCAAACGAGGTTAGATATTGTTCTAATTTGAGAATCCTTGATGCAGTATCGGAGATGCAGTGCTGTTCATTTCCATGGGTAGCAGCTAACTTTTAACTAGTGTTTTATTTTTCTCTAGAAATGAATTCAGTTGTTAATTGTTTGTTTGTCTTAGCATTTCATTGTCTAGCTACTTTAGTTATATATCTACTTTCTTATCTGAGATTTGACCTGCTCCTCTCCCTGTGATTTTGGTGCTTTCAACTTAAGATTGATTGTTCCTGACTTTGTTCGTCTGGGAATTGTCTTCGATAGATTGTATGCATATGTTGCTTCTATTGGCATTCGATCTAATCTATTGTGGCGATGAAGGAATGAAAAAACTTGCAACTCCGTGCAACATATGTGTGGGCGCGCCTGTTCGTTCTTTAATTTGTAATTTGGAATCTCACCAATTTAGTTTTATCCACTGCACTTGGTAATAGATTGAATTGAACCACGCCACAATCAACGATGGTTGTGAAATAAGAGAAGATGAATTGCATGTCACACTCATATGTAATTAGAACATTATTTAAGGGAATAGTTTTTAGTATACAAGACATACCCTTGAAAATACAATGCCAAAGCTGCTACCAGTTGTAGTGCTGCATCAAGTGGCTGGAATTTGCAATCTCACCAATTTTCATCTGTACTCATACATCTTGAATTCCAGCTTTCCCTTGGTACACACTCGACAGTTGAGGGACTTCAGTTCGATATCTGGTCACAAATCTCTCCAAAAATTGCTTCTCCGTAAAACACAACACCCAACCTAGATTCCTGTTTTCATCCATTAATCCTTTCAACATCAAAACTTTCAGAACCGAAAACCTTGGGATAATCCTCTTCTCCTAACTGTAACCCATGATCACCGGGGCTTTGACAATCATTTGCGAAGACAATCCCATCTTGTTCACTACAAATTCCATGACTTGCATTATCTTCTTCTCCGACCTGGTCATACAAACTGGGTGCCGCTTGAAAGCAGAGAGAACATCATCCTCAGACCAACCCCACCTCTTATAAACTTCGCAATTTCGAGTCCATATGGACTTACTATTGGCACTACTCAAAGCTTTTATAGCCATCACAGACATTGATTTTTCCATATCAAAACCCATTTGCTTAACCTCACCCACAACTTGAGCAAACTTTTTACGGTTTTGCATCAAAGCAAGGGTAAAATGAGCTACCATCAGAGAAATACATGATTGGGGCATACCTGATTCTCTTAAGATCCCAATATTTGGCTCAACATTCTTAGAGTGGCCTTCCAAGAAAATCCGCGTGCAGTGCCTGAAAACTGAAGCAATTTTTCCCCCCGAAATCATACTCCTGAGGAAATTGTAAGTGGGTAGAATCTGTTTCTCCAAGCTTCTTGCCAAAAGAATCGGTTCATTACCCAGAGTTGTTGCAAGGTCCTCCTCTGAAACTCCAAGCGAAGTGGAAAACTCAAGCTTCGGCAAAAGGGTTTTCTCCGGATTGGAGTTAAGAAATTGTGGGTACGTCCTCACCAGCTTGGAGATCTGGGTCTCAGAGAATCCATGGTTTCTGAGAAAGGACACAACGGCGTCTGCTCTTTGGAGGATCGCAACTTGACCCACTTAGACGCTAAAATCGCACCTTCTGGGGACAACCCACATGAATTTATGAGGTAATTGACTGTGGAATCGTGGTGGGTTTCTGAGAGTTTTGAGGTGAAATGTCTGCACCGTAGCAGATTTTGAAGAGGAAAATGCGAGGCTTTTAGATCCCCAACCCTAACAACAAATCTTTTAGTTTTGGAAAAAAGTGAATAACCCAATCTGCCCGCCTTCAGGTTGAAGAGGGCTGCCATGTTAGACGCCGCCGGCACCGATCAATTTCAGGTGGAAAATCCAAAACCTCGCTGGCTCTTCCGTGCAAAGGGTTTTAGGATGCGTTTGTTGCACGGATCTCGCACTGGATTAGCTTTATTGCACAGGCTTACATTAGACTAAGTTAGGTGTAGTGTCGGACGGACTAAAAAGTTGGACAATAACAAATATATTTTTAATTCATATTTTATTAATATTTTATATTATTTAATTCATATTTAATAATATTTTATTACTACCACTATCTTTTTTTTCTTCTTCAGAAACCACCCATCCCCATTCCTTATTCTTTTCTGCTAATCTCCCAATTTCTTTCCAAGTTTGCTTCGTCCCTTTCCCTCTGTTTCTTCCTCTTTCTTCTTCACCCCTCTCTCTTCATCTCCATCTTTTTCTTCCTATTTCTCTCTGCTCATCTCCCTCTTTTCTTCCTATTTTTTTGGGACCCAATTGGCAAATTAGAACCCATTCAGAGTCTGGGTCATTTGGGTATTCATGGGTCTGCTTCTCTAGCATCAATAGCAAAGGTCTGCGATCAGGGAGTCTGGACTAGGTGGAGTGTGAGCAAAGTTGCTAAGCGTTTCAGACGCACATCGATTTTGCTTTTGTTTTTTTTTTTTTTTTTTTTTGTTCTGAATTTTGGATTTGGATCTAGTTTTGAAAATGGAAATATTGCATAAATTTTTGCCTTTTGTTTCCAATTTTGTGGGATCTGGGTTTGAAAATGGTAGATGATAAGGGCGAAGTAGGGCAGAGTTTGTATATGGGACCTGGGTTTCACATCTTGCGAGTAACAAGTTGATGGGAGGGCGAAGAGAGGAGGAACGAAGCAGGAGGAGTTGGGCTTAGCAATCCTGCCGATTTCGGAGGGTCTCGCTAAGACCCCCTAGCGAACTACTTAGTCCTGTTTATCGGGGCGAGTGTCATTAAAACTTGTCCCAATTTGTATCAAACACGGGACTAGACTCCCACTTAGTCTAGTCCAGTCTAATGAACGCTAGTGAGTGCAAACAAACACAACCTTAGGCTTTTAGCATTTCATGTTTTTTTTTCTTCAGGTTTTTACCACACAAATGGGGGTCCCTATCATCTCGTTTGGAGATATCAAATATAATATGTCAAAATTTTATTTGATAGTTGATGTGACAAATTGAATACAAGTGTTAAATTCTCTTTTATTCCAATAGATGTGTCAAATATTTATTTTATTATTTTATTAGGCTTAGAGTTACATTAACTATTAAAAAATAATCAAAATTAATTGTAGTTTTTATTCTATTGGTTGTTAATGGGATCCATGTATTAAAAAAATTCAATTAAATATATTTGACTCATTTTTTGTTTACTATAAAAAAATGTAGTTAGAAAGTAAAGAGTCAAATGACTCACATGCCACATCATATATGGCATATCCATTAGAGAACACCTAAATATCTTTTAATCATATTTGGCATATTTGACATCTCCTTTGGAGATGTACTTATGTTTTTAACAAGTTATCAATTTGATTCTTTGAGTTTCAAACTCATCAATTTTATCCACTAATGACAGTCCTCCCCAATTTTCAAGCCTTCCAACTTAATTTTCCTATGCCTTGCTGCATATTTATTTTTTGTCTTATTTTTTCTTTTCCGTTAATAAATGCCTTTCTTGGTGAGATTATTTGTCAGTATTTTGTAATGAACATTTTAATTTTGGATTGGTGTGTTGATAGCTTCTCCTAGGTCTACTTTGTTGTAACAATATATTTGTTACTGGAGTTGATGTTACTCATTGTCGATGAGTGACATGCCGTTTGCTATATTCAAGATTGTGTTAGTAAATTTTCTCAAATGTCAATTTTCAAAGTGTTTGACTTTTTTCATCATGAATGGAATTCCTTTGACTTTAGAATGTGAGTTTGAGTGTGAAAGATTTTACGATTTGGGTGCATTTCCTTTGCTTATTCTTGAACTTGTCTCGTCCTCAAATCTACTATTACGATTATAACTAGTTTAGGCCAATGACCTTTTTGTTTTGTTAAAATTTCTTTGAATTGAAGAGCTCCATAATATAATGAAACCGATATCATTTTATCCTAAAATATTCTAGCTCACAAAAAGCGAAAACAAAATCATAAAACAAATAAAATAAAAAATTAAAATCGTAAGAAAAAAAATCACTTCACCAAACAAAAAATGAAAAGAGAAAAAAAAAGGAAAACAAATGAAAAAGACTTGAAAACTTTGAGTTTTAACTATAAGGACAAAATAAAGGGCAAATTGAATAGTACCATGATTGACTTTTTAGTGTAAAAATGTGGTTTTTCGTTCAAGTGAACAATACCGGGAGTTTTTCATTAGAGTTCCAAAAAAAACAACATGTTGCAAATTGCAAGTTACAAGACAAAACACAACCTTCTCTCTCTCTCTAGTTTCTCTTTCTTTCTTTTCTTTCTTTCTTTCTTTCTCTCTCTAAAAAGGCTAAAACCCTTTTTCTTTGTTGGTGTAGATTTCTTTCCTTGTTAGCCCAACACCCCACCTGATCATTCATTTCTCTCAAATCTCCATTTTCTCTCCCCATTTTATTTATGGATCTGCACTTTCCCACTCCCAACCCGACCTTCTAAGCTCCCCCAGAGCTCTGAAATCCTAAACTCAAATCCGATCGATTCAATTTAGCTGAACGAAAAGCAGCCGGAATCCGATGAAAGTGCAGTGCTGCTTGGTGTGCCAGACCCATTACGACAAGGAGGAAAGGGTTTCGCTTTTGCGTCTGTTTGGGTTAATATTTAACTTTAGGCTTGAAGTGAAAGAAGCCTAAAAGAGCTCGAGAAAACAGGTTTTGCCCGAGGCCTAGAGTCAAGCCCAGATACCCATCTCGAGATAATATGATGGTTACCCATTTAATGCAAAGGTTAGGTGCTTACAAGAGAAGTGATAACTAATGAGAGTCCACCTATCCTCGGCCCAAAAGCACTTTTTGAATGGCAGAACATGTAAAAATGCTGATGACTCACTGCCCTTCAATTGCTTTTGGGCAAGAGCAGAAACTACACACTCGGTTTAATTCGTCTATAAAAGGAGGAAGATTTGCATCCAAAAGCTGTAATTAGCCCAGATCTCAGATTCTGCACCCTTTTAGCCTTATACTCCCCTTAAAAAGATATCTTTTGTCTAGTGTAAAAGCTCTGCTACCCTTTCTAAATGATGTAGTATCGATTCTCTTGTAGACTTGTTTACCACTCATCTTACTTTAGTACTTAACCCTCTGTAGCTACAAAGAGAAGAAACCGCAAGACGTTTAAACTTTGCCCGACAAGGTGAAATCTTGCCCGACTCTCTTTGTTTTGTCTTTAAGTTGATAGATCTAGTGATATGATGTATTCCCCAGTATATATTCAAGTCATTTCCAGTGTTTTGATGAATCAAAGTTTCATCAGTTCTCAGATCTGGTTCATTTAGTGGTTTTACTGTTATGAAGAGACTAAGTGTGAATTAAACCGATGGCTTGATCATATAAGGACCTCCACCTTTTAAGCATACAAGATAACCAACTAAAAGTCCTTGATCTCAAGGCACAGAAAAGAACTTAATGTAGACTCAACCCATCTACAATGATCATTTGATAACAAGAAATCATAATAACTTGGGGCGCAAGTAATCAGCTTAAACACACTTGTTTTACATTTGCCATACTGAGATGGCAGTGGCACACCTAAGAATTTAGTTAGTTTTGATTGTGAGTTTTAAGACTTATACCAAAGGCCCCACAAAGGCACCTTTCAGAACTAACTTTGTCATCTTCTTACCGTATTTTGGCAAACTGGAGCCCGACAATTGACCAAAATGCCAACTCCTCGGGGAGCTATATGCTCGAGCCAGGGACCCCTCCCAGTGAGATTTCCTGCTTGAACAGCTTTAGTGTGGCCATGGCTTCTGCAAGAACTGCTTGTCCAAAATGTTCTCTTCGTGTCCGGATACTACCTTCGTCTGCCCCTACTGCTGCTATGTCACAGTTGTCAGGAACTCCGTTTAGGCCCTCTGCAAGAACTTCGTTGTGCTTGCCTTGATTCACTCCAGCTCTAATGGTGTCTCGTCTGCTGCTACCGCTAATTTCGATTACGATTACACAGAAGACGACGATGAGGATGGGGATCGACGATGTGCTCGTGGAGCCCACACGTCGAGCTCGGGTGGGTGTGAACAGGCGATCGAGCTGGTGGTGCACCATAGCTTGAAGTTGGTTTCTGAGAAAAGACAAAACAGAGTATGGTTTCTCTAGGGATCACAACCCGACCATCTTGGAGGCCGAAATTGCACCTTCTGGGGACAACCCACATGAGTTTATGAGGTAATTGACTTTAAACTCATGGTGAGTTTCTGAGATTTCTGAGGTGAAATGTCTGCAGAGTAGCAGATTTTGAAGAGGAAAATGCGAGGGTTTTAAATCCCCAACCCTAACAACAAATCTTTTAGTTTTGGAAAAAAATGGATAACCCAATTTGCGTGCCTTCAGGTTGAAGAGGGCTGTCATGTTAGACGCCACCGTCACCGATCAATTTCAGGTGGAAAATCCAAAACCTCGGCGGCTCTTCCGTAGCCTTACACTACTAGGAATGCCCCTGCGGGTTTTCAAACTATAATCGACAACCTACATGAATAATATCCATAGAAAAATTAATTGAAATTGCTGCAGCAATACAATTGCAAATTGCATTCTTAAATGTAGCAATTTAGACAACACACATTTTATCTAAGTAACGCTCACAAAACCACAAACAACCTCATAAAAGGTACTAACTTAGAATCAAATCAAGTATATAGGATCACACTTGCACTCAATAGAGGGGAACCAATCGAAAGCAAATTTGTAGCTTTTCTAACTTTATTGTTTGGCCTAAAGAGAATTTGTGGGCAATAACCCTAAAAGCTGTCGAATAAAAAATAAAACAAAATTTTACAAATTATCTAAATAAATTTCAGCAACAAATTGCAAATAAAAAGCACACAGCTCATAAACAATCAAAATTAAAAGTAGGAAAGAGTGAGAGTAGTGTACTAGGACGATGTTCGACTCGTCATGGAGAGCTTCAATTACTGATTCTAGCAACTCGATTGAAAGATCTTTGAGAGAAAAATAAGCATTATCGCAACTATCTCGAGAAGTGAATTTCACATCCATAACTGAAATTTCAAAACCCACCACATAAGCAGCATATGAAAACAACAAAGAAGAAATTTAGTCAAAGTTATTTTATGATCATTAGTATCTTAACCAAAGCAATTTCTAACTTCAACATTCAAAACGAAAAATGTACAGAGTGTGAAATCCCGTCCCCGAATTTCACTATTTAAAATTACATATTTCGTATTTCGTATTTCATATTCTTCTTCGTAGTTTCGACGCTTTTGTATTTGTGATGTTTTTTTTTATAATTTAAAAGGACAAAATTGCCCCTATTGTATTAAACAGGATTCTTCACAGACATATTTGATCCTTTCATGATTTTCCAGATTTCTTTACATATTCGGATAATATGTCTATGTAATTTGGAGTTATAACGAAAGAGTTATAAACGAACAAAGTTGAGGGCAAAATGGTCAATTGACCATAAATCTAGAAGGCTCGGTAAATCTAATGTGCCACTTGTGTGGCTGTGATTGGAGAAGGATGAGAGAGAAATGAGGGAAATGAGGGGGGAACGGCTTAATTAGAAAAAGGGAAAGGAGGGGACGAGAGGGAGAAGAAAACCACCAAATCGGATCTTTTTTTTTACCTGTGACCCGACCTGGTTCCCTTCGTCTTCTCTAGTGGTTTTTCATCGGTTTTTCTAGTGAACCACGTCACTTAATCACTGAAAAACATTCATCATTGCTCCCTCTTCCTTTTCCACCAAAAAACCAACAGGAATAGACCTCAATTTAGTGAGATTGCATCAATGAGTTCATTAGTGCACGGTGGCGGAATCTGTCAATTCTGAACTGTTTTCCATCAAGAACCACCACCAAAATACTCCCCTTGAACCCAGGAACAAAGCCCAAACAAGTATAGGCACTGCTGAGTTGCAAATGTTTTCTGGGTGAATTGGACTTCAACACAGGTATGAAAGTTTTTTTCCCTTGACGAGTTTTACATTTCTATAAAATTTGGTAATTTTTGGAGTTAGTTGGAAAATTGGGTTTCCGTTTGCTAGAAACCACCACTCGCGGCTGCTTGTGGCTAATGAGCTGACGATGCCATTTTAAGCCAAATTAGATGTCCTAATTTCATATTCAATATCCACTTGATGTGATTTGATTGTTTGAACCTAATTTCATTATAATACGCCACTTGATCATTATATGATTCGATGATTCGACCGTTGGACTGTCATCAAACTTTAATGCTTTATAGTACGTAATATTTGAGGATCTTAGAAGCTTACGGATCGAGAATCCGATGTATGGATCTTTCTAAATTGAATTTCTAAGTTTGTAAACAATACATTGACCACCTTGTATCTTTAGTGATTGGCAGAGATTCGACCGTTGGATCGTTCTAAAAATTTAAGATATTATTCTAGAAGATTAATGAGACTCTTGGGGAGTTACAGATTGAAAATTCATGGTCGGATATTCCGGATCGAATTATGTAGAGCGGTGGACCCCACCTTTGACTGAGAGTTGACTTTTGGTCAACATGTCTCAAACAGTTTGAAATACTAAAATTAGTATTACTAGAGACTTAGGGAGGCTTTGTGAGCTTATCTCAGTGAGTGACTTTAATACATGTGATATAGTTATTACCCTGAAAACCTCAGGTGCTAGTATACTATGTAAATACAACACATATTTCTAAATTATGTTTTATATTAAATAATTGTTTTTATAAAGTTTGTCATTGATCTACCTTATGAAAAGTTATGTGACTTGCCTATTTGAAATGTTTGCAAAATGTATTTAAAATATATATATATATATATTATATATATATATATATATATATTTGAAATGTTTGAGAAACGAGAGGACTAGTAGATGACCATTACCCTAGTGTCACAGGGTTAGATGACACCGAGTCTGCACCATGTAGCAGTGGTACATGAATGGTCATACTTGGTTAATCCGTGATAAGGGACCATATTATTTATGGGTTCTGCTTGGTTAATCCACGATAAGGGACCTTACTATTTATGGATCATGCTTGGTTAATCTGTGATGGGCGATCCTTATGGCGATACATACTTAAGGGTGATCATGCTTGGTTAATCTGCGATAGGTGATCACTGCCTAACAGTTCTGTAAATGTGACTCTGCTTGGTTAATCCGCGATGGGCGATCCTTATGGCCATACATACTTATGGGTGATCATGCTTGGTTAATCCATGATAGGTGATCATTGCCTAACAGTTTTGTAAGAGTGACTCTACTTGGTTAATCCGCCTTTCTCAAATGTGGCTTTGCTTGGTTAATCCGTTGTAGAGGGCCACTTCCTGTTTGGTTACTTATGTAGGCTTCGGCCGAACTGCGTCCATCTAGCCCTAGTTTTAATGTATTTATGAACGATAGTTTTTGAGAATCTTTGTGGTTGGAATTAGAAAAGCTGTTGGATGTTTGGGTGACTCATTCAGAGTTTTCAGTGACTTGATTATGATTTCATAAATTATGATTTTATATTTGAGGTTTATAAATTGTGATCGATGGTCTGATTTTATTGATTATCACATATATTGTATTATTCTCACTCACACAAGCTTCGCAACTTATCCAGGTTCTTGTTGCCCGGTGCATCATTTCCGTGGTGTAGGCATTGATTGTACAGATGAAAGGTCTAAGTAGATTACAAGTAGTCGCTTGGTATTTTTGGTTCCGTTGAGTGGTTCAGAACCCGATATTATTGGATTTCGTTGAGTAGTCCAGAATCCTTACTCTTGCTCATTTCCATAAGGTTAATCCAACCTTAGATTCGAGTGAACAAGAATTGCTCACAATAGACGTTGTGTTTATAAATTAGATTTATCATGTTATTACTTGGAATCCAAGTAGGGAATTATGTAGAATTCCTTTATTAAATCTTGTGAATTGATATGTGATCTTATTGATTGATTAACGTAGTTAAATGTTAATATCATGCATCTTTGATTATTGGGATTGATTAATTGGAGTGATTGTGGAATGATGTTAGATATGATTGTTATTACTATGATCAGATTCGATGACCAATGTGGCTAGAGAATAATTTGTGCTCCATTGGTTGTTCGCTGAGATGTTGCATGCTATAAATTTTGGTCTAGTCTCGGAGGCGAGACATGATAGATAAATAGGAATGTGGTGACGTGTACGTGTCGATCTTGGCTGTATGTCGGGATCAGGGCGTGAAACAGCGTTTATATTGATCACTCAAAGTGATGTTTACATTTTGTACTACTACAACACTACTGATTAACCTTTTCGAGGTCCTCATTAACACTTGAAAACTCTTGGACACATAAAGCTGAAAACTGCAAATAAGTAAATTGCTTCAAAAAATATATTAGGATGATGTTACCTTCCCAATCACAACCCATTTGCATCTTGCCAAAACTATCGGACTCATATTTAAAAAATTTCGAAGTTGTATTGGTAGGAGGACCCAATTGGCTTGATTAAAAAGCGCTTCTTTCCCAAAACCTTTGAACTGTTCAGAGTCCAAATTCCATAAAACAAATGCTAATGTCAAATTTACAGCCAAATGAGCAATCAATTTACTGAACTCCAAAGAAAAATCTTCACATAAAAAATATCTAATTTCACAAAATAAATGAAACCATATCAAATGTCTTGATATAAACTAAGAACTCAAAAGCTTAAGCAAAACCCACTCCCAACAATATTGTAAAAAAAAAAAAAGGGCTAATTCATTCATAATTTGAAATAATTCAAAATTGCAAGCAAGAAAACACTCCATTTCAAAAAAGCTTTGCAAGGTCATGAAATTGCCCATGAATATCGCCACAAATTGTCACTGACCTTTTCACTGGCATGCAAATAAATAATAATAAGTGTCTACCCATATAATTTGAAAGATCTACACTAGCGTTACCAGCTCAAAATGAAGGACAATAATAATGTTTTTTCCCCATATAAAATGCAATAACAATGAAATATGTAATGTAATACAAATATAATAAGAGACTAAAGAAACCAAAATTTCCACCTGAACATTGCTTTCTCCCATTAAAATTTCCTTTGCTTTCTCACATAATATTCTCA